TGGTGCTAAAAAAACTATTCATGGCGAATCATTTGAGTGAAGGCTGAATCCTTCACTAGGGAGGTTTTAAGCTTGTAGAAACCGGGTCCTTGGTCCGTTTTTTTCCTCATTGTCAGTATTATGACGCAAGTTTTATGGTCGAGTCCTTGGTACGGGCTACGAGGGAGGATTAGTGCCCAACGTAAGGCACCTTCTAGGTCATTGGAGATGAAAATAAGGTCAATCCTGGATTTAGATAGCCGCGCCGGGTCACTATCCCGAATACATGTAAAGGCTCGTGCTTGAGGGTGCAGACGGCGGAAAGTGTCAAAGATCGAGAGTATCTCACAGAGATCCGCTATCATCCGTTCATCTTCTATCGAGGCGAAAGAGGGGGATTCCTGGGCGTTCCATCTGTCCAAGTTCTTGTCGGGGGTGGGATTAAAATCCCCTGCTATAATTAGGGGAATGCCCTCCGGCACTTGCGTAGCCAACTTCCCTAGGAATTATCTTCTTTCCCCTACTGTATTAGGAGCATAGATGCATAGTATACAGATTAGTTCCAGTTCAAGCATACCCAAGACGGAGGCCCAACGTCCTTCCGCTTCATCCACGACCCAATGGACCGGCTGGAATCTGGATTCCGGCGGGACCCAGATTGCAACTCCTGCTGAGCCCGGTCTGTGTGCGTGGGCCCTAATCGCTGTATGGGGCCAAGTCATTCTGTGTGCCCTGTTATGCTCCGGGTTGTCAAGCAGGTGGGTTTCTTGCACACAGATTACGTCTGGCCATCGTTTGCCCACCACCCCTTTGAGTTGGTCCCAGATGGCCTGCCGTTTTTCTGGTCTACTTGACGCTAGGCCGTTAACGTTAATGGATCGTAGATCAAGATCCGCCGAGCTGACACATTTTTTCCACGCCTGGTTCCTACAGTATAGTGTTTCCAGATCGTCCATCAATACCTATCTATAGTGAATGCCATGGCTGGTCCCATCGGTCTGAATATAGAGTCTTCATCCGTACTATCCTGCACAGGCACTTGCAGACGTCATCTTCTCGCCAGAAGTCGCTATTTTTAACTTTTGCACACTGGAGGTCCAGCAGCGCGTTGTGGTTCAACCAGCGCAGGTTAGCCGTCTTATTGGATTCAAAAAGCAGGAAAAGATCATTGCGGGCCATTTGATGATCGCAGGCCCCAAACCTCACCCCTGCCTTTGCCCCTGGGGCATAGTGGCTTGGAATAAAGGCCCGCATTTGGTCGGTGAAAATCTTGTCCCTTTCTCTATTGTCCCATTCCCGCGGCGCGAACTCCCAGCCCTGTAGCGTTACGCCTCCGTGTTCTCCTACCTGGGAGAGGCCGATTTCCCACACCCCCTCTGATTTCCTCAGAGGGATTACAAGCACTCCATTCTGTATTGAAAGGGACAATTCGAAGAGCCCTCGTTCTATGAGTTGTCTGATCTTAAGCCTTCGAGAGGTCAACCCTTCGTCCCGCACTGCCAGGTCTTCCTTTGTCTCAGGTCGGGCGGGCTGGGAGAACCCCTCCGGGGCTGGGGCAGCAGAGTGCGGGGGGGGTGGGTCCTGTGGGGGAGGAGGGCGGAAGCGTCCTCGTGCCACGGCCAATATGCGCTGAAAAGCCTCCGCCCAAGTCAGATGAGCCGGTGGCCCAATAGTTAATGCGTTTCTCAGCGTGGGACTGTTGTTAAGAAGTGTGACTAATTCCACATAAGATTTGTCCCAATATTGCTCATCTTCGTGGGGAAAGTCGGCCTGCAGGTGTTTGATTATCCAGTCTGTCACTTCCTGGATTTTCTGGTCCAGCCCCATTTCCTGAGGAGGAGCGTCTGGATCAGCCGAGTCCCTCAGACCTTCCCCCATTTCAACGTCCGGGGGGGGGGTGGCATCTACGTCCATTGGTTGTGCTCCAAACGCGTCCGAACAAAAGTCACGGGCCAGTGCCTGTGTACTGCCATGGTTCGTTTGTCGCTGGCCTTGTGGCGGTTTTTGTGGGGTGGTTGGGTTCTGCCCCCGTATTGGCTGGGCCCGCGCCTGCTGCTTCAGTCTCAACCCCTGGTTGAGATGCCCTTCCTGTGGCTGCTTTACGGGGGCAGCCTGTTGTGCGGGCGTCGAAATGCCAATGGCCAGTGCTCCACCCGCTTCCACCTCCTCCTCCCCTAGTCCCCTGCCCTCCCTTCCTGTAATTGACGCTACCTCTTTTCCGTGTTCCATTCTGGCCAGTGTGCCACCCGCTTCCACCTCCTCCTCCCCTGGTCCCCTGCCCTCCCTTCCTGTAATTGACGCTACCTCTGCTCCGTGTTCCATTCCTGTGCTGTATCCTCCCGGGTTGCCTGCCCCCTCTTCTTTTTCCTTTCCTTTGTACGCTTCTTCTTCCTTTTCTTTTTCCTCCTCTTCATTTCCTTTGTTACCCTTTGTCCCTTGTTGGGAGGCTGGTTGTGGTTCCTTGTCTTGATTGCTCAGGTTGGAGCCATGTGACTTAGTACCCAGGAGGGCAAACCGATTCTCATTAGTGCATCCACTACCACTAGCGTCCTTTATCAGGTTATGCCCCTGCCCTGTTTTCCTAGTCCCAACTATCACCCACTTTTCGCCTGATTGTGCTTTTGAGGGGGCCCGTCCCAAATGAGACTCTAGGGATTTGGGAGGGGCCCATGTTGTGGGTGGTCGGGTGTCCTGCTGAGGCTCACCTTGCCCTTCCCATGACCATCCAATTACTTCCCCCTCCTTTTTTCCAGGCGCATCGATGAACACCCATCCTTCGTGGCCAGGGTCGACCGTGCGCCACCGTGATTCGTCAAAGGGGTCCTTTCTTAAACGCCCTGTGGGCCGGGCTGTGCGTGACGGGTGATGGGCACAGGTTGATTCGGTGTACAAATGCCCATATGCCTGACACTTGAAACACCAGGGCCGGTGCTTATGGGCGGTGTGGATGCGGTATATTTTACCCCCCACCTGAAAGGGGATCACGTCATCGATTGAAAACACTTGCCCATCTGGTAAGCTAATGGCCAACATAAGATAATCATCTCTGCGTGCCACATGGGGGGGGAGGGGATCAATAAAGCCAACCACACCGTACCTTGCTGCAAAATCCTGGAGGAAGGCTGCTTGTATTTCAATCGGGATATGATGAAGTTCGACCCAAAAGAATTCTCTCTTCATTTGCTCCCTCCATTCCTCTGGTCGTTGTGGTTTAGGGGGGGCCCACGATACGAACCTCGGATCTCTCACAACGGAGTGACTTCCAGCTATCCATTATCTTCTTATCAGATGCAGATACACAAATAACAGTGATCACTACGGATGAAAGCGGCTGGATTAGGAAATGTTCGCGAGCATTCTCCGAAGATCCTTTGAAGGCGGCCAGGCGTTCTCTGATCCAACCTACTTTGTCATTTGTGGACTTGAAGGCTGCGTCGTCGTAAAAGGTCCAGTTACTGGCGTGTCTGGTGAATAAGGCATCCCGTGTTTTGACTGCCTCCCCCGGGAGGGCTCTAACCATGGTAGTTTTGCCACTCCTTCCTTCCTTCGCTGGATTGAGATGGTTTCCTGAGGGAGCGAGCACGCCACCCTTTCCGCCCATGTCTTGTTCAAGCCCTGGGCGGGCGAGGTAGATGTGCTCCCCCCCCCCCCCCCCCCCCCCCCCCC